TCATTTAATGAAAGAACTGTTTAAAAGAAATACATGATTAGGCACTATTTGTATGACAACCATCCATAATAAGAGGTGCATAGCAAATTGGACTAGGGGAGGGGAGGGAGGAAATTTTGCAATACATAATTTTAAACAGAACAAAACAGTGAACTGGAGGCAGGCAGGGGGGATAGGGAGGAAATTGCAACAAAGAATGAATGAATGAAAATCCAACTTTTCTGTAAACTTAAGTAAGGTTCTCCAACTTTCCAAGTATAATGTCTCTTTCCAAGGAATAGCCCCTTCTAACCACATGCCCAAATTATGTCAGATGTAGCTTTGTAATTTTTGCCTCAAGGAATACTCTGGCTGTACTTTATTCAAGATATATCCACTTGTTCTTCTGGCAGTCCATGGGATATTCTCCAGTTTGGAGGCTCATGTGTGAAGTGGCTGGATTCTAGAAGGTGGGCTCTCTTGTTTTGGTTGAGGGTCAGGTATGGACTATTTGGTTGTTTGTTATTTTGTTCACAATTGTGAGTGAGTTGATTTTATTTAAAAGTCAGTTGGTTTTATTGTTAATGTGTTTGAGATGTACATTCTTCTAAGTGTTACAGCATTAGTCTGTCCATTTGCTGTATTGAGGTAACTTGGGGTTGCTGTGATACTGAACACTGTGCTACTAGTGTGTCAAATACCATAATGGTTACCCATGGTGGACAGTATTTGGTGGAACTCCCAGATTGAGACAGGTTTGGAAGCAGGAGTGACATTCACTTCCTAAACAACATGCCTCTGGAAAGTCTATGAACATAGAGAAATGACAATAGTTATAAACAGGGTTTTGTTCATAGGGTCACTGTGAGTCATGCTTGACTCGATGGCACCTATCAACAACAACAACATGGAATGTTCAGTAATCTATTCCAACACCAGAACTCAAAGACATCAGTTCTTTTTCTGTTATTCTTGTTCACTGGTCAGCTCTCAGACGCATGGCAAGTGATTTTAAAGACTATAGCCTGAATCAGGGGCACCTTGGGTTTGTTTTGTTTTGAAACTTTTTTTAGTGACACTTTATTTTATTTTTGTTGTTTTTGTTGTGT